CCCTCATGGGATAATAAAGATAGTTTGGAAGAAATCCGCACAGTTGTGGTGGTGGCTTTTAAAACGAGATCATCTGGCCCTGTGCTGCTGAGTCCTCCTGAATGGGCAATCCAGAGACCGCAGGTCTTGGGTTGAACGGTGCCGTGTCGTGCCTTGCAGATACAATGAACAAAGGGCTCATTTCCCTTTAAAGCGTCTGCAAACGACATGAGTTCAAAAAGCGAGGCCAGTGGCACTGCCAGCTGGGCCTTCTGCAGGCAAAGAGCTGGGTTCAAATCCTGTCTGATTTGAAAATGTGTGCATGTTGAGGTGGGGGGGGGGGTTGGACTCCCCATGCCCAACCCAGTAAGGGCTGGGGCCTTCATCCCCATTGGCTCGCCTCACCAAAACCACTCAGGGCCTGATCCTGCAAGGAGCTCCACATACCCAGCTCCCTGTGCTGAGCCCTGTTTGACTTAATGGAGCTCTGCACGGGCACAGGGGCCTCCCCACCTGGATCCATTGCAGGATCAGAGCCAATGCTTGGTCTCATTGGGCCAAAGTGCTCATGGGATAGCCAGACTGGAGTAGCAAGGAGTGACGCAGGCCGGGCATTAGGTGTTTCCCCTGAGCTGGTTGGACAGGAGCTAGGCTCACCAAAGGTTCAGCAGCAGCAGAATTACGTGAAGCCCGGCACGGGAATAGGTGAGGACTGTGGGGCAGGAGTGAGGTATTAAAAACGATGGGCCTGATTCTCATTTCCTCCGCCCAGGCCTGTTCCCCCTTCCTCTGGCAGTGCGCAGGAGTCTTAAGGCGAAGGGAAAAGATTATTAGGTTTAGACAAAAAAAAATTCAAAGCAGCCCTGTCCTAGGCTCTAGTCACCCCTGCTATAATTGAGAAAAACAAAAGGAGATTGTCCGCCAAGCACCCTGCCGCCCTCGCCTGATGCCTCTCCCACCCACCTCTGCAGCAGCTGGTATAAACAGATGTGTCCTGCAGCAGGCCCTGAAGGTCAATAGACCTGGGCTATTTCAGGCCGGTGGGGAAGGATGGTCTCTCTGGCAGCAAAGTCCCAGCCCCACTGAGGCCTTATAGACCAAACTCAGCAGCTCAGATTCAGTCTGGACACCAATCAGTGCAGATCACGTCGCACCAGTGACTTGCTGCCCCCAAATGGCACTGCTTAGGGGGCTAGCTGCTGCATTCTACACCTGCTTGACTCTCCAGATTGGCCCCAGGCGTGGCCCCGTGGAGAGCACACTGCATCAACGCAGGCTCGAGCTGGCCAAAATGTGGATTACGCTGCGTGGCCCCCGCACCTGGAAGAAACGGCTGCAATCTCCTGGTCAGGTGCAGAGGGGAAAAACCATTCCTGGGCCTCGCTGCTATCAGCAGGAGATCCACCATGACCCCCAAGATTGTGAACCCTGGGTCCCAGGTGGTGGGCACAGGCCCCTGGTCAGAGCGGGAGATATTAGACTCACCTTCCCATCTAGTTGCTTTCACCATCCTACCTGCATCACCTCAGTCTGATCCAGATTGAGCTTCAGCCAGCTTGCTCTCATCTCCCTGAAACCCTGGGCTAGACAGCTAATAGCACTGGCTAGATCAGATACTGAGCATCATGAGCATCCTGAAGGCACTGCAGCCCATCCCTCCTTCCTAGCCCTCCCCATGGCCCCACATTCCTACCGAACAGGAGGGGAGACACAATGCACCCCTGCAGAACCTCCCCTGAGGACACCCGAAGGGAAGAGCATTCAGCCCAGAAACAGAGCTACCAACGAGCAGCTTGTCTACCCCTGCTCCAGTGTAACATACACCCACTTTAAGGCCCTGCCACAGTGGAGTAAAAGGACATTAGTATAAATGAGAATCAGACCCTACCTCGGTACTCGGGTCTGGATTTTAGGATGGGGTCCTTATTAGAGCAGGATGGATGGGGGGGGGGGCCAATAGTAAATTTGCTGAAAAATGCATTTTTCAGGGCACCAAACCTATGAATGAATTCAGGTGAACTGGGCAAAGAGGTTTGGCAAAAGGTGGGAGGGGTCAAAAAAGTGGAAACCGTTCATTTGGAAAGGCACCGTTTCAACTTTTTGTTTCGAGGCAGGGTTTCATTTAGCTGATCTAGTTTCTAAAACGAAAACAACAAAAGGGGTGAAAACAACCTGAAACGACCTGAAACACCAAATACCGACAACAATTATTTCGGGTCGAACCAACCAAACCAACAATTTGTTTTGCTTTGGTGAGGAAAAAATAAAAATACTCAATTTTGGTTCAAGCCAAGCAGTTCTTTGGTTTTGTTTTATTTTTTGGTCCGGGGCCAAACCAAACCAGGTCTATTATGGGGCTAGAGGGGAGAAACATAAGACTGATTGTCCCAGGGCGGTGGGGGTGGTCCCCCGGCACACCCCCTGTGGTCAGGCACAATGTTACAAGTGAGCTCCTGCCTCAATTTCCCTTCACCTGGTGCATAAACAAGTCCACGCAGGGTTTCCACTATTAAAGAGTGTCCTCTTCAGAGGGACTCACTTATTTAATGAAAAAGCACAACACAAAGGCATAACTGAACGCTTCATGCAACTACTCCACCGGACCCTCACCGCCCTGGGACAATCAGTCTTATGTTTCACCCCTCTAGCCCCAGAGCACGCTCAGGCTGGATTCCCTGCCTTGAGCTTGGGCCTTTGCTGGGTGTTCGGCCAGATTCCAGCCTCTTCTTGCTGAGCCAGACCCCGGTAGCTCCCCCAGGAGGTCCCACGCCCAGTTGGTTCTCCTGGGCTGCTCTGGTCCCTTGCCTGGAAACCCGTTCTTGTCTCCCTAAACTTCTATTCTCCAGTGAGGTGAGACGCCACTGGGAGTCACTTCCGAACCCGCTCCCCTTAATAGTCTCTGTCCTCCAGACCTTTCTCTGCTCTGGGGCTAAATTCCTCCTGGAGTCCTCATAAGCCCAACAGCTTCTTATCTAATTAACTGCCTGCCCAGCTAGTGAGCTATTAACTCTCCACAGGTAGATCTGGGTTGGCTCATTCCCCTTAGTGGAATCTGTCACAGACAGGCTGGGTGCCTCACCCACTCAGGGGCCAGCTCCTATGCCAAGGTCAGTAACATTATCCCCATTTTACAGACGGGGGAACTGAGGTACAGGAAGGCATGGTCACCTGCCCATGGTCACCCAGCACATCAAAGGCAGAACTGAACCCAGATCTCCTGAGTCCCAGTCCAATGCTCTAGCACTAGGCAACACTGCCTATATAAAGGGGAAGTAAGCAAATCCTTTTAGTAAAGGATATAAAAAAAATACCAACACTTTACAGGCAGGGGGTAAAACCCTCCAAGGAGTAAATAAAACCCCATATATAAAGGGAGTGAAAAATGCTCTACATCCACAGAGAAATAAACAATTACCCCTGTCAGGGATTCGTAACCCCCCTCCCCTATATGTTATGGGGAGTAAAAAACAAACTTTTACTATGGGCAAGGAGTGTTAAAACTATCAGGCTCCAGCTGGACGTGTGGGCTCTGGTGTAGGACTGGGGATGAGGGATTTGGGGTGCAGGAAGGGGCTCCAGGCTGGGGCTGAGGGGTTCGGACTGTGGTAGGGGGCTCCAGGCTGGGGCAGGGGGTTGAGGCACAGGGAGGCTCTGGTTGGGAGTGCGGGCTCCGGGGGTCACTGGGGATGAGGGTTTGGGGTGCAGGAGGATGCTCAGGGCTGGGACCGAGGGGTTTGGAGGGCAGGAGAGGGATCAGGACTCAGGCAAGAGCTCCGGGCGGCGCTTATCTCAGGCAGCTCCTGGAAGCATGATCCCCGCTCTGGCTCCTACTTGGAGGCGTGGCCAGGCAGCTCTGGGCGCTGCTGTCCCATCCGCAGGTGCTGCCCCCACAGCCTCCGTTGGCTGCGGTTCCCAGCCAATGGGAGCTGTGGAGCTGGCACTTGGAGTGGGGGCAGCGCACGGAGCCCCCTGGCTGCCCCTACGCCTAGGAGCTGGAGGAGGGACACGCTGCTGCTTCCGGGAGCTGCGCAGAGCCACGACAGGCAGGGAGCCTGCTTTAGCCCCGCTGCGCCACCGACCGGACTTTTAACAGCCCGGTCAGCACTGGTGACCACAGCCGCCAGGGTCCCTTTTCGACCGGGTGTTCCGGTTGGAAACCGGGCACCCGGCAACCCTATTAAGAGGCTGGGTGGGCGCCGCCTGCCTACGGGCACGGGAAGGGAAAGCTGATGGCAGGAGGACACGAGGCAGAAAACGACCATGGGTGCATGATGTAGTACCCGGGGGGTCCCTCCCAAAGGGATTGGCAGAGGAGCACAGAACGGGCTGCCGGGGGGCAAATCTCCAGAAATGGAGAAGCCATGTCAAATGGGGGAGGAGGGTTAAAAACCCCCTAGGGGGTAAAATCCCTAATACGGGGGAGAAGGTTTAAAAAAACTCACTCGCGGGTGCAGGGGGAACCCTAATAGGGGGGTGAAGGGTGAAACCCCCCAAATCTAAAGAGGAGTAAAACCCTAATGGGGGGGGTTAAACCCTCCCAACTCTATATAAGAGGGGAATAAAACACCCCCAAGTCCCCACCGATCTATGGCATTTATATGGGGGCAGTAACCGAACCCCACTCCCAGGAGCCCGCTACAGCCAAGGGGCAGCCTGGGAGCCGGAATGCCCTTTGCCCCTAGCAAAGATGACCGGAACTGTGTTCTGCCCTCAACCAAAATGGCGCCTGCCAGACGCCTCTTGGCCCAAGGCATTCCCCGCCACCGGAAGTCGGGGGGCATTAAGCGAGCCCCCGCCGGAAGTTGGCTTGGAGAGCGCACTGAACTAAGATGGCGCCCGCCGGAAGCAACGGAACACAACGGCACGTACTAAGATGGCGTCCGCTCGGGAGCCCTGACGCAAGGTGCCCGGCACTAAGATGGCGGCGGGGAGGAGGATGGGGGAAATGAGCTGGGCAGAGGGCCCCTTACTAAGATGGCGGCGAGCGGCGGCTCAGCGAGGGGCGGGACCGGGTTACCGCCCTGTTTCCGCCCCGCACGGTAATGGCGGCAGCCGCGGCGGTGGAGGGGGAGGGAGCGTTGGGCGAGTGCGCATGTGCAAAGCTCCATGGAGAGAAAAGGGGGTGAGAGAGCAAGAGGGATAAAGGGAAAAAACAGGTAATGGGCCTGTGGGGAGCGGGGCTCCGCTGGCGCGGTTCGGCCCCTGTGACCCGGCTGGTGGGGAATGGGCCGGGGGGCGGCTGGCTGGGAGACGCCCAGACTGGGGGTGGCCCGAGGGTGGGGGTACAGGCCGAGCCGGGGGTGGACTTAGGTTGGGGGAGGGGGTGGCCTGGCTTTACTCCTTCCCTCCCATCTTAGGGTCTCGGGGGGGTGCTGGTTGCACCCGGGACTGCGGTGCGTTGGGGACCCCTTGGGGCTGAGGGGTGCAGTCCCTCGTTCCTCCCGCAGCCCCCTGTCACCTGGCTGGGGCACGTTGCCCCCTTTGCCCCAAGTGTGCTGTAGCCCCCCTGACTGCCCCCTTTTGTGAGAGGCCATAGGGCCCCCTCAGTTCCCTTCTGGTATTATGGGGGTGGTCCCCTGCCCCCCCTCAGTACTAGGTGCTCTGCGAGCCCATTCACTGCTCTGAAGAGCTCTGGGCATCGCAACAACAGATGCCGCGGTGATGAACAGGGTGTAAGGCCCTGGATAGACTAGAACCAAACATCTGAATGCGAGAAGCAGGGGAGGTCCCAGTACAACCAGTGTATCATCACCAGCAATAGACATAGCTTGTTGCCTTAGTGCTATTGGCCTGGCCTCATCCTCCCTGGTCTCTGTCCCCTGGCTGAATTCCTACATGTGCTGGAGGGAAGCTTTTATTGGGGAATCTGTCTGGTGCATGTCAGACACCAAACCTCTTCTCTCCTCCCCTGCCAGGTGTGATTGGTCCATCCCTTCCCCTGAGTGCCCCTGTTAACACTAACCTGATGAACCTGAACCCTCCTTCTCTGTAATCCTCAGTCATTCATCAGCCACATCTTATCAGGAGCTGCTTAGCTGCCTGTTTCCTCCATGCACAATAATAAAGGCTTTTGTTGTTATCTCATATCGCTCACCACCACCCCCGCTGGGGGAATAGAACTGTTTGCGTTTCTGTGCTGAGTCTTTGTGGTGAGATGGTGTGCGTGCGTGCAGGGAATACACAGGGTGCTGCTTGCGCTCTCTTGCAGCCATGCCATCCAGGTTTGCACAGGGGCGATCTGTTATGATTGTGCTTCATTTATGTTTCCCTTTTATGTGGGCCTCCCATACAGTTTACTTTTCTGTTCTAATGTTTAGATTGCTGCAAACACAAAACAGACAAAGAGCTTACAGCTGCTCTAAACACAAAGTAACACTGGTTTAACTAAAGGTGTGATTTAAATTTGATGCAAAACCCTGTGTAGATGCTCTTAAAGTGATTTAAACCTGGTTTATATTGGTTTAGCTTTTCTTAGGAAACAGCCAGATGCAAGCTAAACCATGCAGCCAGTTTTAAAGTGATAGAAGTGTCCACCAAAGGATTTACACTGGTTTAACTGAAATTGGCTTCTAAACTGATGTGGGTTCTGTGTGCAAACAAGGTCTTATAGTCTTTTGCAGAAGTTGCACTGGTTTAATCAATCTTCACTGCTAAACTGATGTAAATCCCTCATGTAATGCTTATAACCAATGTTAAACCAATATATCTGTGTAGTTTGTGCATATAAACTTACTGACACAAGCTAAAGCAACATAAACCAGGTTTAAATCAAATTTAAAATGTCTATGCAGAGTTTTGCTCCTGTTTAACTAAATCAGTTTTTTAAAAAATGTCTTTAGTGCAATTTTGTTAGTAGATCAGGTCTTAGGCCAATATAATGCACAAGTTGACAGTTTCAGGCCATGTTGTGCAGTGTTGTTGTGGTGAAGATACCAGCACTGGAAGGCTTTGCACAGGAATTGGGTTTGAAAGCGGAGAGGTGAGGGGCTTTGCATGTATAACTGGTCTGAGCACAGGGAGTGGTATGGAAAATATGTGAAGCCAGGGGTGGGAGAAGGTGACAAAGGGAGCAGGTGAGAGAAAATGCAGAGGCAGGGGAAGAGCAGAGATATAGCCAGTGTCGCACTCCTGTTGAGTGTTAAATGTGAGGATGTGGAACTTGACTCAGGTGAGAGAATCCAGTGAAGTGGGGGTAGGTGTTGACAGCAGCAGATTGCTGGTGATGATTTTAGCAGTAGCTCTAGACTGGAGAGGGAAGAGGTGAATAATACTTAACCCTTCTAAGCACACTTCTAAACTTGAGAGCTTTACAAACAAATCTCTCTATGGACTTTCCCTGAATCAACAAGAGGCTCATTTAAAATATCCTTGTACTAGCACCAGTGGAAAGTCTTCCAAATATCCAAGGCCCTGATCCTGCAATCTGCCCTGCATGGGTGGACTCTTACAGTGGGCATTGCGGCTCCTCCTGGGTGTAAGGGGCCTCCTTGCAGTATCAGGGCCTAATTTATTAAACTAATCATGCGCTGCTTGTTGATACATTAAAAATAAATCAGTCGTGTGTGTGTACGCGCAAGCGCGCAAGGTGCACAAAAGTGAGTGCCCGACTGGCTGTGTTGTTTTTATTTAGCAAGAGTATTGACAGACTTCTGCCGAGGAACTTTCTACTGTTAGTGCATAGATATTGTGGTGAGATTAGCTTCTGCATGCATTTAAGTTGTTGCTGTTGGAACAAAACAGCTGCTATGTTAAACTTGGCCCATAACTTAAAAAAAAAAAAAGCCTGGGCCCAAGAGAAATGCCTTCAAGTGTTTTGAAAAAAGTTTGAGTGCAAACATTTGTTCAAAGGTAAATAGATGTTCCCCTGTCCTGTTTGAACCCCAAGCCTTGCACTATCAAGAATGACAGGTTTCAGAGGAACAGCCGTGTTAGTCTGTATTCGCAAAAAGAAAAGGAGTACTTGTGGCACCTTAGAGACTAACCAATTTGGTTAGTCTCTAAGGTGCCACAAGTACTCCTTTTCTTTTTACTATCAAGAATGTGAAAGTGAAGCTGTCATCCAGTGTCCAAGTGGGGAGAGATGATTGAAGGAAACAGAAGGTGAGGGGTCAGAAGTTTAAGATTTTGTTTTCGCTTCTGAAATGATTTTGCTGACAAACTCATGTTTCTGTGTGATCCTTGAAGTTGACTCTGTAACTTCAGCTTTGTTTAAAAAAATGTAAATAACAAAATAAGGTAAAGATTATTTTTTAAATGTTGGGTTGTTGTTTTTTTGTGAGGGGGGGAGAGAGAGATGAGGAAAGGAAGATGGAAAAGTGAATTTAAAAAAGATCACACCCTTTCTCTACCACTCTGCATCTCTGAGCCATGTCCACTGGCTTGGTAGCAATGAGTTTTCACTCCTGTTAGGCTGCAGAGTGAATACGGCTTTGAGAGTTGGATCTTCTGCAGAGTCTTTATTTGAGGGGCTATCAATTGTTTGATAGATTGGTCTCGTCCTTAAATGATAGTGTCTAGTTACCAAACCATTTATTAACCTCTAACTGCAAACTTCCTACTCATAACACCTCGGCATATTAAAATGTGGTGCTACAATAGTACAAACAATAATTAATAACGATAATCTGTGTCTGGGGCTTGGCAAAGTCTGCTTGCTGGTGGTGAGTTAGCAGCTTTCCCTGAAGAGCAGGGTAGTGAGAGAGGCTAAAGGCATCGACTTCTGTGGAATTCTTGAGCTCATGATTTTGTTATGTTTAATTTATTGAATGATTTTGGTCCTGGCTGCAGAGGAAATCCTCAGCAGTCGTGTTGGCCTGGGTTTGCAGCTTGTCCTTGTCGCAGCTTGTAGCCTGCCCAAGCAGTATTGGAGCGAAATTGGTCGCTCTTCACGCAGTTGGCCGAGCCCTGTGGTAGCCGCAGACAAGAGTTGTGTTGTCACATCTGCCGCTTGGAAAAGTTATGAGCAGAAGTAGCACTAGAGCTGGCATACAGGAAAGGGGGGCTCCAAAAAGATGCTGGGTAGGGGTACTGTAGCAGAGACCTCCATCCTCTTGCAGTGGCTGGGGTAGGGCTAGAGCTACCTTCTCCTGCTACCCCACATAGTCATGAATCTCGGGGGCAGGAGGAGGGAAGAAGAGAGCACCTTCCTTCTGTTTCCCCTGGAAAGCAGGACTGCAAGTATAACACACATTCTGGTCCTAGCTGGAGGTGGCACAAAAAGCTGGTAGCAATGCCAGCACACGTAGCATTTGATTTATACCGAGCTTTTCATTCCTAAATCCCAAGGGGCTTTACAGCTGTGAGTGCAGTCGTCCCCATTTTACAGATGGGGCCACTGAAGCCAGAGGATATTGTGAAGGCCAAGGCTATGACAAGGTTATAAAAAGAACTAGATACGTTTCTGGAGAATAGGTCCATCAGTGGCAATTAGCCAGGTGTTCCTAGCAGCCTCTGTTTGCCAGAGGCTGGGAATGGGTGACAGGATGGCTCACTTGGTGATTACCTGCTCCGTTCATTCCCTCTGAGGCACCTGGCATTGGTCGCCGTCGGAAGACGGGACACTGGGGTAGGTGGGCCTTTGGTCTGACTCGGTCTGGCCGGTCTCATGTAATAACTGTCCCAAGGTCACACAGCCAGCGAATAGCAGAGCTGGCACTAGAATCTGGGGTCCTGACTTTGTCTGCTGCCCAGCCTGGGACCCTAGGCACGCTTCACGTGGGGCTCTGTCTTTCTCTGTGATGTCAAGGGTTTTGCAGTTAAGATGAATGGGACAGTTCACCCCTCTTGGCTCTTATTCCAGGGAGTCTGCAGACTCAGGCAGGCATCACTTATGCTTTGGTCAGGTTTTCAATCTTTTCCTGTGTCTGAAAGAGCTGGGAACGTTCTCTGAACGAAAGCTGGGCCTATAATGCCTAGCATGGAGTTCAGCCCCGCCCCCAGGCCTATCTATTGCCTATGGTAGGTAGAAGTGCTGGACCCTTCCACAGGTATCACCTGTGGATCTTGCCAGTGCCATCCCCTCTCTTATGTTGGCCTCTGGTCTAGTAGGTTTACTCGGACTACTAGATGACTGGTGCCTTTTTCAAGCCTTGTCTTTATTATGGGATCCAAGGAATCCATGTTCAGCAGGAATCCATATACAGTATGGATGTCTTGT